CGAGCCCCGCTGTGCTCCCACAGCCCCAGCCGGGAGCGGGGGGCAGCTCAGCCCCGGCCGTGCCTGGACTTTGGTCCCCGGCAGGAAGCAAAATAAAAGGCAGAAGCGATGTGTAAGGCTTTGCAGCACCATGACCCGGAGCATGAGGCATCCCTGGGTGGGAATCAGACCCATGGGGTGCTCAGCACCAGCCCCGAGTGCCAGTGGCATCCAGTACCAGCACAGGGCACATCCTGCCAGCGCGGCACTGCCATCAGAGCCCTCAGAGCGAGCACAAGGGGAGCAGCAGTTGCCCCAAATTCCCTCGGGATAAAGCCAGGACAGCATTGGGCCCCATGGCCACGCTGGGAAACAGCCCCAGCAGAGAGAGGAGGGTTTTCCCACAGAGATTTGTCCACATCGCCCCGGGAGATGGGGGAAATGATAAATTCTGGGTTGTGGCAGAAGCGCCCCACATCCTGCTCTGCCACGGTTACCTCCAGGGCATGGTAGATGGCCCGGCGGTAAGACACCAGCTTGTGGAACGTGGAGGAGTTGAAATGCTGCCTGAAGGCCATCAGTCCCACCAGCTTGTCTGCAGAGACCTGTGGGACAGCGACCAGAGCTCACCAGGGGCACAGGCACGCCTGGCTGCGGCCATGTCCCCCATGTCACCATGCACCCCAATGTCACCGTGTCCCCCACACCAGGGCTTTGTCCGGACCATGCAGCTGCATGTGAAGCCCAGCACAGGATTTGCAGAGGTGGGAGGACAGAGGTGGCAGCACTGTGGTCACCATCAGGATGGGCATTCTGCACCCTCTGCTGGCACAGCACTGGCACCAGCACCCAACACCAGCACCCGGCACGGCGCTTCCCTCCCTCCTGCCTGCATCCCAGGGCAGAAACAGGGCAGCCAAGGGGGGACGGGGCTCCAGGAGGGCACCGCTTGCCAAGCAGGGAGGGACAGGGGCAGCCCCAGAGGCCAGGGCTTGGACAAAACCCCACAAAGGGGCTGGGGAGATGCTGCCAATGCTGGATCCCATCACTAACCTACAGTGGCCAGGCATTACAGGCACCAGAATCACCCAGCGGGGTCTCAGCGCGGGAAGGCTGTGGGTGTGCGCGCACAGAATGGGGCAGCAGACAGCAGAAACAGATGGGGAAGGGGTGGCAGGCAGGGGAAGGGGTTTCAGGCAGGGGAAGGAAGGGGCAGCCTTACCTCGGAGAACTTCCCGTCTCCAAACCACTGCACCCACCGCATGCCCGAGCCGGCCGGGCGCTTGGCCGTGGCTCTGTAGGAGACGACGATGGCGGGCCACCAGGAGAAACCTTTGATCTTTCCCCAGACGAGCTCCCCAATCCCGAACTCCTTCCCGTCCTGAAAGAAAAGGAGGCACAGATCAGCCAAAGGCACAGAACATCCCCCTATTTTATCCGAGCAGCCACGCAGGAGAGGCTCCCGC